AGGGGCCGCTCTGAGGACTTGTTGGCACCGTTGACGGAGACCAGACTGTGCTTGCCAGCGAAATCGCGGCCCTGGCTCGGGCCCTTCGTGTCACCGCGGGGCCGCTTTTCCTTTGGACCGATTGTGAGGTTGTCTCCCAGGGCCAGCAATGGGGCCCAGCTGTCAACCCGCCCGGCAAGCTCGTGCGCTGGTGGCAAAGGGCCAAAGAGACCCTGCAAAGCAGGGGCGGCGGTAGGATTGCAGTTCGCAAGTGTCTGTCGCAGCTGGATGTTGATTCCCATTTGTTTGTAGGTCAGTGCGCGCAGGTCTCGAGGGGGAATGAGATGGCGGATCAGCTGGCCCAGCGTGGAGCAGAGCCCGTGCCCATCCGCGCGGCTATTAAGATATTGAGCATCGCTGACGCGAGAGCCACCCTCGTGCACCAGAGAATCGGGGCGATCTTAGCCCAAGTCTGCGAGGACCTGGGCCGTTCGGACCGGTGTGTTTTTCTGGCTTGGTCTCGGGGCCTTCTCGGCTCCAGGCGCTCGAGGCCCAACCTGGCCACCGCCTGGTCCGTCTTAAAAATGGCTTGTGGTCCTGCAAAAAGTGCCGTCAGACCCTTGGCAGATTTTCAGTTGCAGATTGGTTCGGCAGCATGACGTGTCTTGGGAATTTGACCAAGCGGGATCTGAGCGAGCAAGGCCACCACGTCTATGTCCCCCCCGCCTGTGTCCGAGAGCTTCGGGTCGGGCCAAGGGCGGTGCACCCCTCGCATTCGATCGATATGCAGCATGGCATGGCGTGGTGTTGGGGGTGTGCCCGATATGCTTCCATCGTTGCTGGCAGCGGGCGTCTGTGTTAGTTGGCCCAGGAGTGCCCTCAGATTTGCACTCAGTCGGGCAAGACCATGTTGAACATAATCCGCAAGGGCCTCACTCCGAAAGCGGGGATGAGCTGGCCTATTCCCCACAGCTGGGGGCAGCGGACCTCCTCAGCCTGTGGTAGGTAGCTCCATCTGGTCTTTCGGGAGGAGGACGGACGGGGGTGTGGGCCGCTCGCTCAAGAGGCCTCCCCCCCCCCAGAGATGGCGTTAAATTACGCGCAATTGAACGCGCAACAACCGGAGAGGCGTAGCACTGCTGCGGCCTCTCTCAGTAGCAGATTCCTGCAAGCTCCTTCTCTTCATTTTCCTACCTGTGGTAGTGGTGGTGGGAAACCGGCCCATCACGCAACGTCGGATCTCAGGGGGCCTCCGACGATCTGATTTGTTCCATCGCGGCTTTCTTCCCTCGGTTCGACCCCGTGCCCCGGGGCTCCTCAGGAGCAGCGGTAGGGCGGGATAGGCTGAGAGGGGGATGCATGGACCGCCAAGCGCCAAGGGACGCGCGGATTTGCTATCGGTGGCCCATCGCCGATGAATCGGCGATGTATCGCCGATTCCAAGTCGACGTTCCCCCCCCCGAGCTGGTCCCAAACGTTCCCCCTCATGGGGCGGGGTTCTCCCAGTCAGACCTCTGACGATATGATTCGTTCTGTCGCGGGATTTTCCTTGGGTTCGGCGACCGGGGGCCGCGTTCGGGCCCCCGGGCAATCAGAAAAGGGCCCGGGGCGCAAAATGAAGCCCGGGGAAGGGGTTGGGGGTCGGGACCTCCCAGGGCCGAGCATCGAAAAAACACATCGTCGCGTCGTCGGATGCGGGATCGAAATTTTGGCACGTTCGATCCCATCCGATCCCGACACTCCAGCGAGCCAGTGCGACCCGATGCTCGCATGGCGTTGTTGTGTACACAACAGCGCCATGCGAGCAACTCCTGGCGCCGCCGATCAGGGTCCATGTCGATTCCGTGCCGACGCGGCCCGATCCGACGCCCGCTCCGATTCGATCCGATTCCCCGATTCGACGTTGACTGCTCCTGCCCAAAATTCGACGGAACCCCAAATTTCCGACGATTTGATTACACTGGGGGCCCCTTGCCAAGAAACACCCTACTTGCCTCCAGCGTGCTCTGGGTGTCTTGGGTCTCGATGGTTTGGCGATGAAGAGCACGACGTTCCCACGCCAAACAGACATGGACGCCCTGGAGTCTCAGGGTTGGGTTTCCTGTGGAAGGTTTCGTGTGGACTGGCCTCCATTGTATGTGGACCCAGGGTTGTTTCCTTGGCCCTGGCCTCCCGGGACCGCCGGCGGGCCCTGCGTCAAGCATGGGCCCAGGTCCGGGACGACAAACGAGCAACTGGTCGGGACATCGTGTGGCCGCGCATGGAAAGCATTTCATCGTCGGATGTCTGGGGCGGGCTTTTCCTCGGCATCGGGGCGAGACAGGCAAATCTCGGAGGTGGACAGAACCCCTACCCTGACACGTTGATTCGTGAATTGTCCGTTTTCGGTTCTCGAGAGGGCGCCACGGCCGTCATTTTCCAGACTTGCGCCCGCTAGGTTTGGGCCCGAGGTCGTTTTTACTAAACCACGTTTTGCTAAAGTGGGTTCCGTCCATCCCCGAAAATCGTGACGGGCGGCTTTTTGTTGTGTTCGGCCTCCGGGGGCCATTTCCTAGCCCCTGGGGCCGACGTCACAAAAGAGTGCACGTCAGAGGACAAGGTTATCTGGCTTCCTGGGGGTCTTCGCTCCCTTCCTGTCCTTCCTCTCGCGCGGCTCCATTTCCCCTTCGTCCCGCCCAGCCGCCCAGTCCCTGGACTCCAGCCCGCACGCCCCTTCCCCCCCTCCCTCCCTTTTCATCAGCCGCTCTTTCGTCCCGTCCCGCCCTCCCTCCCTCCCTCCCCCTTGTCATCCCTCCCTTCCGCTGCTGTTCCTGTTCCTCTTGTGCCTTCGACCCACTCCACTTAGAACCTGTAAGTCTCACAGTTTTTAGAACCCGTAGCAGGGGGGAGGAGGATCCTCCAGGGTTCCGAGAACCCTTGAGGATCCTTCTCCTCCCCCTCCCCCGCGTCCTCCATGTCCTCCTCCGCCTCCGAGAGCGTGCCATCCATCCATCCGCCCATCCTTCCTCCTCCTCCTCCTGCTCCTCCTCTTTGTCCTCCTACCCCTCTCCCTCGTCATGCTCCTGTTGATCCTCCTCGCCGTCTCCATCTTATCATCCTCATCATCACACGCCCTTCTTCGGAGTATCCCTCCCCATCTCCCTCCATCCTCTTCCTCCTCCAACTACTCGTCCTCTCTCCTCTTCTCTCCCCCTCCCCCTCCATTTCTTCCCTCCTTCGTCTTGCTCATCCCTCCTCTCCCCCCTCCTCCCCCTCCCTCCTCATCCTCCTACTCCTCCTCCCTCCTCCTCCGCCCCCCCATCCCCCCCCTCCTTTCCTCCCTCCCGATCCTCCCCCCCTGTCCCTTTCCCTCCCCCTCCCCCGAGGTTGGCGCGCCTCCTGGAAGTGGTCGGCGAGGCGACTCGACCACCCCATGCATCGGAATCCCCGCAGATATTCGGTTTCCCTTTTTTTTCATTTTGAGGCGGGGGCCCGGGAAGTACTAATCCTTCCCCCAGGGCCGGTTTCCTTCATTTGGGGCGTTCGAGGAAAGGCCTTGCCCTCGAGGATCGAAGGAGTCGTCATCTCTTCCTCGGCGGAAGGTCGGCGGAAGTAGAACGAGGGCGTCTCCGCCGGCGGAGGCCGGCGAAAGGGCGGCGGCAGGCGGCGGAAGCAGAAGTCGGCCTCCCAAGAGAGGACGGCAGTTTGGGGGTTCGGGATCTCCGGACGGGGCCGTTTGTTCAATGCGGTGTCCCTGGGAAGTCGTGGCCGTTCCCCTGGGGTCGGGGGTGGGCAGAGCCCCCACCCTGACACGTCGATCAGTGGTGAGTGAGTTGTCCGTTTTCGGTTCTCGAGAGGGCGCCGCGGCCGTCATTTTCCAGGCTTGCGCCCGCCAGGTTTGGGCCCGAGGTCGTTGTCACTAAACAACGTTTCACTAAAGGGGGTTCTGTCCATCCCCGACAGGGCTGTATTTTTAGATTTTTTGAATACGGTAGGTTCGCGTCGTGTCGACCCTCGTCGACCTCGCCGCGGGCGTTCAAGATTGAACGCCGCCAGTGGCCCAGAATCGACTAACATGAAACGATTGGGCGATCGACGAGCCGCCGATCGTTCAAGGTTCAACGATCCACGCCGTGTCAGAAACCAACGCCGGGGTCTTCACGACACGAACCTGCAGTACGGGTTCTCCGGAATCTCAGGCTCTTCCCCCATGGGTCGGTTTTCCACCCCGAGCCGGTATCTTGGGACCCTGCGAGGGCCCCCACGAGTCCGCAAACGGCGAGAAACGGCTGATGCATTGGATGCTTGTGTGTGGAGTCCCTTCGCCGTCCGCTGGAATCTCCTCATCCTCGTCCTCCCCTGAAGCCCCCCCCGGACCTCCTCGTCCTCTCGTCGTCCTCCTCCCTCCTCCCTCCTTCCTCCTCCCTCCTCCCTCCTCCTCCTCCTCCTCCTCCTCCTCCTCCTCCTCCTCCTCCCCTCCTCCTCCTCCTCCTCCCTCCCCCTCCCCTCCTCCGCCTCCTCCCCCTCCCCCTCCCTCCTCCTCCTCCTCCTCTCCTCCTCCCCTCCTCCTCCTCCCTCCTCCCTCCCCCTCCTCCTCCTCCTCCTCCTCCTCCTCTTCTCCTCTTCTCCTCTTCTCCTCCTCCTCCTCCTCCTCCTCCTCCTCCTCTCCTCCTCCTCCTCTCCTCCTCCTCCTCCTCCTCCTCCTCCTCCTCCTCCTCCTCCTCCTCCTCCTCCTCCTCCTCCTCCTCCTCCTCCTCCTCCTCCTCCTCCTCCTCCCCTCCTCCTCCTCCTCCTCCTCCTCCTCCTCCTCCTCCTCCTCCTCCTCCTCCCCCCTCCTCCTCCTCCTCCTCCTCCTCCTCCTCCTCCTCCTCCTCCTCCTCCTCCTCCTCCTCCTCCTCTCCTCCTCCTCCTCCTCCCCTCCTCCCCTTCCCCTCCCCTCCCCTCCCCTCCTCCTCCTCCTCCTCCTCCTCCTCCTCCTCCCCCTCCTCCTCCACCACCACCACATCCTCCTTCTCCTCCTCATCCCTGGGCCCCGTCCTGAGGAGGCCGCATCCCCCGACCCCTCGTTCGAGCAGCAGCTCTTCGGCGAGCCTGGCACCGCGGCGGGGCCCCTGACGGGACGGGGGGGGGGGGGCAAGCGCAGGCCTGTCCTCTCCCAGTACCCTTTTCTTCGCTTCTCCTCCCCAAGTTCTCGTTCCTCGCTCCTACTCCTCTTCCTCGCTACTCCCCCCGCCTCATCCATTTTCCTTCCTCCTCCCTCCTCCTCCGCCTGCACCCGCTTGGAACCCGAGCCCTTCGACCCCAAACGTCTGGAAGGCCGCGCCCAACAGCGAGCAGTGCATGAATCCGCCACCGAGCGGACTGTCAAAACAGGTTGGGCACGTTGCCATGCTTTCGCGGTCAATGTTATGTTCTTCATGGACGTCGCCATCGACGTTTGCCTCATCGTCGAACCCGCCGACACCGAGGACCCCAACGACGCTACTCATGCAGCCGCCATCGCCGTCTTGCACGGTTGAGGGCCGCTGCGCGTGGCGAGAGCTGTCGGTTGCGGTCTCAGCTACGTGCGTTCCCCTCCTCCTCCTCCTCCTCCTCCTCCTCCTCCTCCTCCTCCAGCTCCTCCTCCACCTCCTCTTCCTCCTCTTCCTCCTCCTCCTCCTCCTCTCGTGCCCCCTCCCCCCACGCGGGCGCGCGATCCCGTGCGCGCGCTGAGGAGGAGGAGGAGGAGGAGGAGGAGGAGGAGGAGGAGGAGGAGGAGGAGGAGGAGGAGGAGGAGGAGGCCGTATCCATTTTGGCTCAAGTCCCTAGCCATTGGCTCGGGACTTCGGATGTGAGCATCGGGGGAGGGCGGACCCGACCGCTTTCGAACGCGCGCGTGTTCGACTTCGGTTTCCATCTCTTCCGCGATGCCAGGCTGGGGCTGCAGGACCTGTAGCGCCTGGAACAATGACTCGAAGTTCAAATGCGACCATTGCGGAGGATAGAGCCCGAATGGTGCCAAGCCCGTTGCCACGTTGCTTCGATTGCCCGACGGGCGATGGGCGGAGGAGGGAGTGCAGTGGAATTGGGAACATGTAACATGGGGACTTCGACCAGGCCGGTCACAGGCCCCACCCATCATGGCGGATACGAGGAAGCATGCTGGTTCCCATGGACGAAGGAACCACATGCTGGTACAATTGTCTCAAAGCCAGAGGGATAAGATCAGCCATCAGAGGAGGCTTCGTGCAGCAGGATTCGCGGGGGGGGACAGTGCTCCCAAGAAATTCACTGGCCTTCAGAACAACTGTATGCGCTTAGCTCTTTCAGCAGAGAACAGAGCAGACCCATGCAGCTAAGCAAGAGTTGGACGCTGCTCGAGCGGAGGCCACCATGGCCCTTCGAGAGCAGAGTCAGAAGGCACCCACTGAAGAGGTCAGGACCCAGTTGCAAGACATCGGCGAACAGCTGGGGGTGTTCCTGGCCAGTTTCGCTCAGGGGTTGGCTGCGGTTCAGGATCAAGAAGGGCGTCGGGCGAAGCTTCAGGCAGCAGCTGGGTGTGGCAGGACGACGAGCCCGTCTTGAAAAAAACCTCCGGGAGGGTGTTGGGGGATCCTGGAGGGGGGGCGATCGACAACAAACTTCAGGAGGGGTTCTTTGGGTCCTGGAGGAAGGGCTCGTTCAGCAAAAACCCGTCCAGGGAGGGTTCTTGGAATCCTGGATGACGGGGTCGCTCAAAAAAACACACTTGGGAGGGTTTTGCTGGATCCTGGAGGGGGAGGGGGTCGTTCAAAAAAAGCATCCAGGAGGTTGTTAGGGGGTCCTGGCGGAAGGGCTCGTTCATCAAAAACCCTTCAGAAACCCGTCTGGGAAGTTTTTTTGGGGGGGGATTCTGGAGGAAGGGCCCGTTCGATATAACCATCCAGGAGGGGTGTTTTGGATCCTGGAGGGGGTGGGTCGTTCAAAAACCAATACAGGAGGGTGTTTTTTTGGGGGATCCTGGAGAAAACCCGTCCAGGAAGGATTGTTTTGGATCCTGGAGGAAGAGTTCGTTCAAGAAAAACCTCCAGGAGGGTTTTGTCATCCTGGAGGGAGGGCTTGTTCAAACAAAACCTGGGAGGGTTTCTTCTGGATCCTGGAGGGGGGGCTCGTTCAAAAAAAACCTGCTGGATGGGTTTCTTCTGGATCCTGGAAGGGGGGTTCGTTCAACGAAAACCTTCAAGGAGGGGTTCTTAGGATCCTGGCGGAATGGCTCGTTCAAAAAAAAACCTCCAGGAATGGTTTCTTGGATCTTGGAGGGGGAGTCGTTCAAAAAGAACAATCCAGGATGCGGTTTGTTGGATCCTGGAAGGGGGTAGTTCGTTCAAACAGCAACAATCCCAGTAGGGTCTTTGTTGGATCCTGGGCGAAGGGTCCGTTCAAAAAAATATCCCCTCCCGAGGCCCCCTGACCCCTCCTCAGAAGGGTTCCCGCCACCAGGAACCCTTCCTGATCCCTCCTGGGAAGGGCTCCCGCTCCCCGACCCTCCCCGGGAACCCCTCCCGACCCCTCTTGGCATCTTCCAGGAAGGCTTCCTTCGGATCCTGGAGGAGGGGCTCGTTCAAAAAGCCCGTCCTGACCCCTCCTGACCCCTCTTCAGGGTTCCCGCCCCCGGGAGCCCCTCCTGACCCCTCCTGGCCCCTCCCAGAAGGGAGGTTCCCGCCCCCCTGAGCCCTGGGAGCCCCTCCTGGCCCCTCCTCAGAAGGGCTCCCGCTCCCCGACCCTCCCCCAGGAGCCCTTCCCGACCCCCCCTGACCACTCCTCAGAAGGGCTCCCGCTCCCCGACCCTTCCCTGGGGACCCCTCCCGACTCCTCCTGACCCCATCCAGGAAGGTTTGTGGGGATCCTGGAGGAGGGGCTCGTTCAAAAAAAACGTTCCAGGAGAGGTTTCTTGGATCCTGGAGGAAGTGCTCGTTAAACAAAATCTTGGAGGAAGGGTTCGTTCAAATTGCACTACCGAAGAAACCCACATACTCATAAGTTGTCTGGCGTGATGATAGCTGACGTGAAACTTGCGAGAGTGATGCTGATGGCCGTTGCTTCGCCGATACCGTTGGTGGCGCTGGTCAAGCCTTGGGAGACTGACGCGCCGTGCGAACAACAGCCTGGGCCACTGTGACCACGGAAGAGATCCTCCCTGCCTGCCACTCTGGGCGCGCCGAAGTCAGCCTCTGGCGGCCGTTCGAGGTGATTTTTGACGGGGCTGGGCGAAGCCTCCGAGGACCGAAAGTTGGAAACTCGAAGACCTTCGAGGCTTGTACCTCGAGTCCTCGCCGCCGGTCCGGGGAGCTGGGCGCCGACGGCGGCGACGGCGGCGACGGCGGCGACGGCGACGGCGACGGCGACGGCGACGGCGACGGCGACGACGACGACGACGACGACGACGTGCCGAGCCGAGGGCGGCACGTTGTTTTCAACGACTCAAGCTCAGAAGCACGCTTTCGCCAGCGTGTTGCAACATATCCCAAGGTAACCACGCCTGACTGCTCTGGGCACGGCCGCGCGCGCCAACGGCTCGTGAACTATACTCCGCGATCAATCTGCAGTATCCGCGCTTCAACGCTGGCAAAGCCTGGCGCAGCCCGAGTTGCTCACGAGGTTCCCGATTTCCTCAACGAAAGCATCTAAACGGGCTTGTGTCCACCCTGCGTATGTGGCCTGCCGGAGTTCGCATATCAAGTGTCCAAGAGTGTCCATTCGAATGCGGCCGCCAAAATTAGCGCGGAATTCGCCACTCTTGTTCAGCTCATCTATGACCCCGTCTAACAAGCCCCGGGTGAGTTCGAGGCCCCCAAAAGTTACGCTTGGACCCAGGTCCCTTGGAATAACCACGTGTTGTGCCCCCAGCATAATGCGACAGTCCGTCACGATCTGCAGGCGGGCGAAATGCCCGACGCCAGGGAATGCTGCTCGGAGGTCTCCGTCGGTGAGTCTGCGTCGAGCGCTGAAGACAGGCAGCGGCGTCGTGGCCCGGGAGAGGTACACTTTGCACCACCTGCCGTGCTTCGCCCACGCTTTCTCTTGCGAGGCGCCCCGACCATACCCGCCACCGCGCCAGGAAGCGCAATTTGGAGCGTTCAGTGTTCCTATCCTTTGGGCCCCCAGCAGCCAAAAGCGCTGCTGCTCGCGAGAACGAAGTGGAACGGAGAGCGCCCCCTACCGGGAAATCGATTTCGGTTTCGTGTTCGCGCGTGCCGTGCGTGCGGGCGAGGCGAAGCTGCGTGGGCGGGCGAGAGGAAAGTCTCCTGTGGCCGAGGCGCGGCCGGACCAAATGAGCCCCTTCCGGCAACCGGCGGCGCGCGGTGTCCCGCCGGCGCCCCGCTGTGGCTGAGGCGCGGCCGGACCAAATGATCCCCGTTGCGCTCCGTGGAGGCGGGTTAGCGACGGCGGAACTGTCGGACAACTCCCAGATAGTGCGTAAGGCCGTAAGCCCAGCGGCACGGGCGACCGAGGGAGCTCACTCAATGTGTACCGTGACGACGTCACACACAGCACTCGGGCTTTCATGGACTCCCACACAAAACGCTGAACATCTGCATAATCTAAGCGATTCGTACTGGTTTGGCGAACTGGTGCTCTCAAGACAAGTTTTTTGTAGAGATTGTCGTCCTGTTTCCGGACGTTGCCCCAAGGTTGTGCCTGGCGTCTCTTGAGGCCAAGTGTATGGGACATCTCCCTCAGCACAGGGGCGTCGACAGCATGTGCGCCATGCATAAAGAGGGCGACGCTATCCGATACAGAAGTCTTTGCATGCCCACTCCTCCGATCCATAGCCCTGATCTTGACATAGGTCCAGAGGAGCTGCGCGAGGACATCTCAATGCGACGGCGCCGTGCTGTACGAAAGAGGGCTACAAAGTACGCTGTAAGCAAATTCAAAGCACTCCTGTAACCCAAAGCAGGCTACGGACAACATACATGGAGAAGCCCTCTGTCTTTGATTGCTTTCTTCCAGGATGGTCCCCAGCGCGCCTCCAAAGCCCGCGAGGTGGGCCCAGGAGGCTTCCAAGGGACCCCCAAAGCCTCGAAGAGGTCCCCAAGAGGCCTCCGACGGGCCCCTAAGAGTTTCTCCAAAAGGACCCCACGCGATTCCAAGATGTTATGCTGGGGAGTTGTGCTGCGGGGTCGTGCTGAGGGGATAGTGCGAGGGATCGTGCTCAGGCTGTGCTGAAGGGTTGGGGCTTAATCGTTTTTCGACGGCCCCGGAACACAGCAACGGCCTTTGCTTGAAACGCCCGACGTTTGGATGGCCCCTCCGGCCGCCGCCAGCCGGTCCGCCCGCCGACGACGACGGCGGCGGTGGCAGCGGAGGTGACCGCGACGACGAAGGCGGCGGCGGCGACGGCGACGGCAAGCGCGACTACGACAGCCGCGACGGCGACGGCCGCGACGGCGACGACGGCGACGGCGGCGGCAGGGGAACCCTCGTGAGGCTGGCGACCGACGACCGACGACCGACGACCGACGACGACGACGACGACGACGACGACGACGACGACGACGACGACGACGACGACGACGACGCGAAAACGGCGCCGGAGCTCCAGGCAATTTTCACTCGGCACCCCGGTCCAGCAACGACCGACGACCGACGACGACGACGACCGACGACCACGACGATGACGACGACGGTGGCGGCGGCGACGATGGCGGCGGCGGCGGCGTCGACGACGGCGGCGGCGACGACGGCGACGGCTGCGGCGACGACGACGACGACAGAGACACCAAAACGACGCCGGAGCTCCAGGCAATTTTCACTCGGCACCCCGGTCCAGCAACGACCGACGACCGACGACGACGACGACGACGACCACGACGACGACGACGGCAGCGGCGGCGACGATGGCGGTGGCGGCGGCGACGACGACGGCGGCGGCGGCGACGGCGACGGCTGCGGCGACGACGACAACACCAAAACGACGCCAGAGCTCCAGGCAGTTTTCACTCGGCAACCCTCGCCGATGGCGACCGACGACCGACGACCGACGACGACGACACGAAAACGACGCCGGAGCTCCGGGCAATTTTCACTCGGCACCCCGGTCCAGCAACGACCGACGACCGACGACGACGACGACCGACGTCGACGACGACGACAGCCGCGACGGCGACGGCGGCGGCGGCGATGGCGGCGGCGGCGGCGGCGAAGACGGTGGCGTCGGCGACGGCGACGGCTGCGGCGACGACGACGACACCAAGGCAATTTCCACTCGGCACCCTGGCCCAGCAACGACCGACGACCGACGACGACGACGACGACGACGACGACGACGACGATTACGACGACGACGACGACGACTCCGACGACGACAACGACTCCGACGCCGACGCCGACGACGACGACGACGACGACGACGACGACGAGTGGAGGGATAAATATTCACACCTGGTGCTACATTACCTACACCTGGCGACGACGGCGGCAGCGGCGGCGGCGGTGACGACGACGACGACGACGACGACGACGAGTGGAGGGATGAATATCTACACCTGGTGTTACATTACCTACACCTGGCGACGACGGCGGCGGCAACGGCCGCGACGACGACGACCGCGACGACGACGACTCCGACTCCGACGACGACGACGACGACGACGAGTGGAGGGATAAATATTTACACCTGGTGCTACATTGCGTACACCTGGCGACGACGGCGGCGACGGCGGCGGCGACGACGACGACAACGACGACGACGACGACGACGACGACGACGACGACGACGACGACGACGACGACGACGACTCCGACGCCGACGCCGACTCCGACGACGACGACGACGACGACGACGACGACGACGACGACGACGAGTGGAGGGATGAATATCTACCGGGAACGATTCAGGAGTTCCCAAGGGAGCGTGAAGGGATGACCCGACGACGACTCCGACGGCGACGACGACGACGACGACGACGAGGCCCCAAGAGGGCCTTAAGAGGCCCCAAGAGGCCCCCAAGAGGCCCACAAGAGGCCCCAAGAGGCCCTTCAAACGGCCCCCAAAAGTTTCAGAGGTGCCTCCCAAAGGCCTTCGAGAGGCTTTCAGTGGCGGCCCATCGGCCCATCGGCGGCCGACAGAGCCCATCGGCGGTCGACGATGACGCACCGTCATCGCACCGTCATCGTCTTCGAGCTCGCGCCGACATCTGACGGCGCCGCTAGCCGAAACAGGGCGGGCGGCTGGAAAGCCGGCGAAGGCGTGCCTCATCTGTTTGGAGAATACGGGAGCGCTGGCAAAGCCTGGCGCAGTCCGTGCCCCCCTTGCACTCACGTCTTGCTCGGCGCCATCGAGGCACAGGGAGTCAAGACAACTCGTCCCATGGATTTCCCTTTGGTCGCCCCCGCAGCTGCCTTCCGTCGCAGAGCATCTGCATGAAGTCCTCGTGCGGGGGGGCGGCCCCGGCTGCCGTGCCGATGGTGGCGGCCGATGCTCGGGCATTCTGCCAATTCGGCCACTCCACGTTCGCGTAGTACGCGTTGTTGGCCTTGAGCCACTCCCCGGTTGAAGGCGTTGCGGATGCGCCCGATGCGACGGCGGCGGCCGATGCACTGGCGAAGCTTGGTGCCGCGACCTCGGAACCGGAGCCGACGGCGGCGGCCGACGCACTGGCCTTCGGCGAGCTCCACCTCTCCTCCTGCCCCTTGTGCGTCCAGCGCCACTCCCTGTCTGAAGGTGCGGCCGAGGCTCTCGAGGCGACGATGCCGGCCGATGCACTGGCAGAGCCTGGTGGCGCGACCTCCGAACCCGAGCCGATGGCTGCGGCCGTGGCGCTGGCATTCTGCGAGCTCCACCGCTCTTCCTGTTCCGTGGGCGTCCAGCTCCACCACTCCTCCTGTTCCTTGGGCGCCCAGCGCCACTCCTCTTGTTCCTTGGGCGCCCAGCGCCACTCCTCCTGTTCCGCACTGGCAAAGCCTGGTGCTCGGGCGTCCTCCTTTAGCGGCGCGCTGTGCACTGCCAGCTGCCGTGCCCCCTGTGCCCATGTGATGACCATTCCTGTCTTGCCCTTGGGCTTCCATGTGAACTCGGGGTGGTTCTCGATGAAAGCTTTGAGCCCCCCAGGAACCAAGAGCATGTTGAACTTCTGGCGCGCGCGCTCGCCCTTCGGTTTGAGCCCCGTCTTCTTTTGTGAAATCTGAGATGGATCGAACTCACCGCCATGCGCGTCCACGCATTGTTGCAAAAGTGCAACCATGCGCGCGTCAGCGCCAAGCGTGTCTGCCTCCTCGCCGGCACCCCGGAGGCGCGCAGGGGCGCGCGCGCCTGGCGCCCCGCGTCGGCGCCGGGCAAATTGGCCACCAGCTGGTTCAGCGACACCTTCAAGTGCCCAGGTCGGAGCACAAAGTCCACCGGAGACTTGCTGATGAGTGAAGCGACGGCTCGATGGCAAGCGAGCTCCGACGCCTCGTTTTTGCTTGCGCCTTCCCCCGCAACAGCGACCCGACGGCCATATCCCGCTGAAAAGCTGTTCGGCAAAGTCAGGGTGCACCGCCGCCCTGCGCTGGCAAGGCCTGGCACAGCGAATTCCTTGCAGTGCTTGACGGCCCTGGCCAAGCGCCTTCCGCGCACCTTCGGTCGCGTGGAAGCGCGGTTATTGAGGGCGGTGTGCCGCGAGATCTTGTCGACGCGGTGCTCCAACAGGTACGCCTGGGTGGCCGCGGCGCCCGCGCGGCCGCCCGCGGGGGCGGCGCGCGCTCGGGGGGGCGGCAGGCAAAGCCTAAGCCGCGCTGCGCGGGCCAAAATGAGCGCGGGAGTGGCGCGGCAAGGAACAAGCGCCCTGCTTGGGTCGAACCCGCTACCCGGAAAGCTCCGGTCTACTCCTTGCCCCCCCCTTCTCAGATGGGACGGGCCCGAGCCCGAACAGGGCCACCAGAGACCATCATGAAGACACGGAGGCCTTCACTGCGGCCTCCGGGGGCTTCGGTGCGGCGTGAAATTGCACAGCGGATCGGCTCCGGAACCAAGAAATTACAACTTTTCGCTCATTCGCAAGGGCGGGGCACCTATGCGGTAGCCTATGCGACCACCCTTCGGGCGATAAGGAGGCGAGGAAGGGGCGGGGGGGGTGGGGGGGGCAACGACGCACTCGATCGATCTCGCTATCGAGCTCACTCGACCGATCTCACTCGACCAATCTCATTATGGATCTCACAATCGATCTCATCATCGATCTCACTCGGCCGGTCTCACTATCGATCTCACCATCGATCTCGCAATCTATCTCACGATCGATATCACTATCGGTTTTACTACCGATCTCATTTTCTATCTCACTCGATCGATCTCACTGTCGATATCACCATCGATCCCGCACTCGAGCTCACCATCCCTCTCAGCATCCCTCGCGCGATCTCGATTGAAAAACTTAACGAGAACACATGCATCCCTTGCACCCATGCCACTCGACACGCATGCCGCTCGACGCACATGCCGCTGTCTCTTTGTCTCCGCCCGTGCCGGTTGACACGGAAACTCCCGGCGCAAGATCGGCAGCGCGACTGGCCCGCTCACTGTCAACGGCGAGGTGAATTCAAAATTGATCGAGAAGATTCGGCAGCCCGGCCGGCCCGCTCACTGACCGCGACGACCAGGGGACCCTCATGCGGCAATGCTTGTAGCGGTCGCGATTGTAGCGGTCGTTGCCCGGCGGGCGCTGGCAAAGCCAAGCGCCGAGACACGTTCGCTGTTCTACGCTTTCGGGGACTGCGGCTCGGATTGGAGACGCCTGAGATTAGGCTGGCGCTCCTCCGACCAATAACTGCAGTCCACTTGTTTGGTGGACATGGGGGGCGCCGCCGGACTGGGGCCCGGCTGCGGGCTCGTCTGAATGGCCTTCCACTCCGCTGCCGTGCTCGTCTGCAGCGCCAGGACTTCATCTTTCGAGAGCTTGACGACGTGCTCGATCGTGGCTGTTCGGCACGGCCCGTCGGCCGCGCTGGCAATGCCTGGCGCCGGGCGCGCGACGGCTGAGGCGAGCACGAGAGCCGCTTCTGTGTCCCAGCGGTGCGCCAACATCTAGTTGAAGTCGCAGTGCTCAACCAAATTGATCTTACCATTTGCGCCCTCCGTCGGGTCGGTCAGTAGACGCAAGGTCTCTGTCCAGGACACCTTGAAAACCTGATCTGCGAGCGCCTTCGCATCGTCGAGGGACTCCATTTTGGTTTCGCCTTGGCCGCGCACCAGCAGCCGCGCCGGGTTTGCGCCGACGTCGTTGGCACCGTCGCGGCAGACTGCCAAACCTTGGAGCGGATCCTCGACGATGCGACTCACAGGCGCCGGCAGAGCGACGTCGCCAGACACCGCGGAGAGGCCGCAGCACATGCGCAAGGCACTCGTGGAAACCACTGTGTCCAGAGGCGCGATGGCCACCTCCATGATGCATCGCTTGGCCACCCCGTTCTCCTGGCGGAGAACGCCCCGAATGTTGAACCGGTACTTGGCGCCTGTCAAGGACTGGGCGTCAAGCTGGGCCGTCGCCTCGCCAGGAGTCGAGCAATCGTAGAGTGTCGGGGCGGTATCGGTGACCACGTCTACGCCCACCCCCCCTGCGGCATCCCGAAGACGGCAATTCCGGAGGAAGAGGCGGCCGTCCCGCGCGCACATCGTGCCCCTCTGTAGCGGCGCGTCCAGGAGGCAGCGGTTGATCTGAAACGCGATGGGCTGGGGGTGGGCAATCGCGTCGGCCGACGCCGCAGCGCGCGTGGAGCGCGCCGCGGCCTCCATGACATTCGTTAAACCGCCGCCGGAAGACGGCGCCCACTGAGCGGCGAGCACCTCGGCCGACAGACCGGCGGCGTCCAAGCTTGTCAAAGACTGAGCCTGATCGCCAACGGTGCTGATGTGAGCCCCCGGCCAGATGTTGATCTTCACCTCGCCGTTCTCAAGCGCGGCGCTGCATCCGTGCACGGCGACGCCAGACCCCGGGCGCACGTTGGCGAAGTACTCGCGCGCCTTTGGCCACGCGGCCACCGCGATCTTCCCGCCGCCAGCGTCCGCGAACTCCGCCCCGGCCACGGTTAAGAGGTTGACGTTGTTAGCGACTTGCTCGGAAGTGCCGATGCCGAGGAACTTGCCGCGGAATTCGAAGGCCGCCCGGTGGTTTGCACCAGTGCCATTCTCCCTTGAGGAGCTCCACGATGCCTTCGATGTCCACTGCGATCTGCAGCCCCTTAGCGGGATGCGCCAACGCTTCCGCGCTGGCGGGCGCGACTCGGGTCAGTGTGGATGGGCTGCAAAGCAAGACCGCCGACTTCAACGGGCCGCCGACGAAGTCCGACTTGGCTCTGGCGTCGAAGCTCGGGGTCCGGAGCTCCCGCGCGGAGTCCGCCGCGAATTTTCTGAAGGCTTCCACTGCCGCAGTCCGATTCTTGAAACTGAAGGGCGCCGCGCCGAGCATGTGCTGCGCGGGCGCGTTGGACACCAAAACGCACCTGAACTTATGCGCCTCCACTTTTTGCGCGCCTCGCTGTGAACGTGTAATCAATGACCTTCGGGTCGAGAACTCTCGCGCGCCACTTGGCGCACTTGGCCGTCTGGGCGTTCATGTTCTTCAGCGCCTCCACGTTCTTGTCGAGCATCTCGGCTGGCAAAGCCTGGCCCCTCGTAGCGAAGCCGAAGGAAGTGCGTGACCGAAGTGGGCGCGTTCGCGGCCCCCCCGCGCGCCGAGTGCAACGGAAGCCTTGAGACGAAATCCCTGAATGGTAAGAGAGTTGACGGGGGGTGGACCCAACGTCTCACTCAATCGATTTCACTATCGATCTCACTATCGATCTCACTATCGATCTCATTATCGATCTCATTCGATCGATCTCACAATCGATCTGAGTATCGATCTCACTATCGATCTCACTTTCGGTTTCACAATCGATCTCACATTCGGTCTCACTATCGATATCGCTATCGATAGCACAATCGATAGCACATTCGGTCTCACGATCGATCTCACTATCGATCGCATTCGATCGATCTCGCAATCGACCGGACGATCGATCTCACAATCGATTTCAGGATCGATCATACAATTGATCTCTCATTCGGTCCCACTATCGATCTCACTATCGATCTCGCAATCGACGTCATCATCCTCGTCGTCATCATCAACATCAACAGCAACACCGCCATCATCATCAACAACATCAACGTCAGCATCATCACCACAATCATCATCGCCATCATCACCGTTATCACCATCATCATCTTTACCATCATCATTTTCATCACCGTCATCACCATTATCACCATCATCACCATCATCATCATCGTCATCACCATGACCATCACCATCATCACCGTCATCACCATCATCATCATAATCATCATCATCATCGTCATCATCATCACAGTCATCACCGGAACACCGACGGGACACCAGCGGGACTCGAGATCTCATTATCGATCTCATTCGATCGATATCACAATCGATATGGCGATCGATTTCACAATCGATCCCACGATCGATCACAATCGATATTTCATTCGGTCCCACTATCGATCTCACTATCGATCTCACATCATCATCATTTACATCAACATCATCATCCTCATCAACGCCACCGTCATCATCACCACCATCATCATCACCATCATCACCGTCATCACATCACCATCATCGCCATCATCCCCATCATCACCATCACCACCATCATCATCATCATAACCACCATCACCACCATCATCACCATCATCATCATAATCACCATCATCATCATCGTCGTCATCATCATCATCGTCATCATCGGGACACCGACGGGACAATGGCGGGACACCGGCGGGACACCGGCGGTGCACCAGTTGCCGGAACGGAGACTTTTGGTCCGGCCGCGCCTCAGCCACAGGAGATTTTCCGGTCGCCCGCCTACGCAACTTCGCCTCGCCCGCACGCGCGGCACGCGCGAACACGAAACCGAAAATCGATTTCCCGGTAGGGGGGCTGTCCGTCCCACTTCGATCTCACCCCCAACTTCCGATATATATATAGAGAGAGACAGAGAGAGAGAGAGAGAGAGAGAGAGAAAGAGACATACAGACATACATACATACGGCCCAGATGGCAGGGTTCACGTGCGCCCCCAGGCCCATGTCGGCGCGCCCCTCGCGCTTCGCGACCCCATACGGAGCTCCGCACAAGGCCCCAGCGGCAGGGTCCGCGCGCGCCTCCAGGCCCATGTTCGGGGCGCCCCTCGCGCGGTTCGTGGCCCCATATGGAGCTATGTAATAGTTTGCTTTGTGTTGATTCTTTCTCCTTTTTTTATGTTTGCATATTTTTTATATGTTCGCTCTCTCTTTCTCTGTCTCTCTTTCTCCGTTCCTGTCTCTGTCTCTGTTTCTGTCTCGCTCCGTCTCTCTCTCTCTCTCTTTCTCTCTCTCTCTCTCTCTTTCTCTCTCGCTCTCTCTCTCTCTCTCTCTCCCTCTCTCTCTCTCTCTCTTTTTCTCTCTTTCTCTCTCTCCCTCTCTCTCTCTCTCTCTCTCCCTCTGCAGCACTTCCAGGGGCCCAGGGGCGAACCTGCAGGCGCGCAAAGAGCGGCTGCGGGGGCGGACCTGTGGGCGCGCAAGGAACGCTTGGAGGGCTCTGTATAATTAGGCTCTTGGTTCCCTACCTAGGCTCTGCCTAGAAGGGTTCTTACTCTCTGGGCTTAAAAGGGCCGGGCAGTGGAAAGCGCCCCAGGCGGTTCCCGCAGTATCTGCCCCGCGGTTCCCCCAGTTACGTCCTTTTAGCTTAGCGTTGCTTATCTCAGCTTAGTTTAGCTCATTTCATCTGAGCTTAGCTTAGTTTCATCATAGGTCAGGTTTACCTTAGCTTAGCTTGCCTTCATCTTAGCTTCGCTGAGCTTTAGCATAGCAGAGCACAGCATAGCATAGCATAGCGTAGCATAGCATAGTGCAGCACAGCATATCATAGCATAGCCCAGCATAGCATAGCATAGCGCAGCATAGCATAGCATAGCACAGCACAGCACAGTACAGCATAGCATAGCACAGCGCAGCATAGCATAGCAGAGCAGAGCATAGCATAGCATAGTAGCAAAGCAAAGGCAAAGCAACAGCAGCGACAGCAAAGCAAAGCATTAGCATGGGTGTAATTCCCTACCAAGGCTCTGCCCAGAGGGTTAGTTTAGCTTAGCTTATCTTAGCTTAGCATAACGCAGCGCTGCATTAGCATATCATAGCGTAGCATAACATAGCCAAGCATAGCATATCATAGCATAGCATAGCATAGCGCAGCATAGCGCAGCATAGCATAGCATAGCATAGCGCAGTTTAGCATAGCATAGCATAGTTTAGCATAGCACAGCGCAGCATTACATATCATATATTATCATATCATAGCATAGCATAGCGCAGCATAGCATAGCATAGCATAGCATAGCATAGCATAGCGCAGCATAGCATGGCATAGCATTGCATAGCCTAGCATAGCATTGCAACTAATGCTGCTGTCCTAGGGGCTCCAACTTCTAGGTAGGGTCGCACTGGGGTAATTTAATCATTATCGTTGTTGAACTATGGGCGAGGCCTCTACTTGCCGCGATTGCGGCGCTACCGAGCTCAACCTTTTGCGACGGCCTACTGGTGATCGGCCGCGACAGCTTCGGGGCGCGGCACCTCGCCGCATAGGTGGCCCAAGACCTCCGCGAGATCGCTGAGGTCTTGGACCGATTGGACTCGGACTTCGCGCGGCCCAGGGCGAACGTCACCGACGAGGAGACCATCGCCCAGCCCTGCTGGGAGTCGCTTCTCAATCCTCGGGACCTTCGGAATCGCCCCCGCTTTGTCGATTTCCTCCGGCGGCTCGCCGCTCGGGGGCTCGCGGATGGTCGGCAACGTCGGCAGGCGCGCCTTAGCACCTTCTTCGCGGCCTGGACGAACGGCGATGCGTGCGTGGCGGTCGACGCTCGCCAGCCGAACCAGCTTCGCAAGCTGCCTCTTCGGGCGGCCCTGTCGTCGGGAGAGGCCCGGGGTCCATGGACTTGCTCGACTCCGTCGACGCGGGCCCCGAGGACCTGACCGACTTCGGCGGCTGCCACGAGCCCCTCTGCGCAGGCCCCGCGGACCTCGCGCGCGGCTTCCACCAGTTGGCCGACCCCGCGCGGGGGGGCTGGGTGCGCTTTGACATCGAGGTCGCCGCGGACGAGCTCGGGGTCGACTCCGTCTATGACGAGAAGCTCGGGCGTCGCGCGGCCGCGGCGGGCCACGAGGTCCTGTGGCCGCGCTATGCCTCATTGCCGATGGGCCGGAGCTGGGCGCCATGGATCTGCCGCGAGGTCCTCGTCGAAGCGATGGACGAGGCGGGGCCCCCATGCGATGGATGGTGTCTCGACAAGGCCTGGTCCTCGACTCTCGTCCGGCCAGGCCGCTGTCCGGGCGCCGCGCGCCGACGACGGGGTTTTCGCCTCGCCCAGCGCGCCGGCGCTCGACGACCGCCCAGGGGGGCTCACCGCCGAGCTGGGCAGACGAGGGCCGCGCTGGCGCGAGCTCGAGCGTGCCCGGCCTGGCCTCGCCGTCCTGGAGATGGTGCTCGACGGGCGCGAGGGCTGGCTCGGGCGCGTACCGAAGCGGGAGCGGCGCCTTTACCTCGCGCCCCACCACGTGCTGCAGCAGCCCTCGGCTGGCTCGTTGGCAACTGCGGCGGATCGCGGGCCACCTGGCGCGCACCTTCTCCGCGCTGCGCCCAGGGCTCAGCGCGCTGGGGGTTGCCGCGCGTTCATCGGCGGGGGCGACCTGGCACCCGTCTGCCGGCTGCCTCGCAACGTCGCAGGGGAGCTGGCTGTCGCCGCGGGCCTCGTCTTCCTGGGCGAGGTCGGTTTGCGCCGAGCGCTGTCGGGCGTCGCCTTCACAACGGGCCAGTCCGTCTGCGAGGCCCGACAAGCGCCGCGGGGGGCGCTCGCCGCTGCGAGGTGGCGCGAGCGCCAGCGATTCGCCCCGCCCGAGGTGGGGGTCGCGCCCGACGACGAGCTGCGCGAAGGCCGCGCCGCTGGCCTCGCCGACCCGCCCGATCCGCCCCCGGTCGACGCGCCCCTCCACTTGCGGCGCGCGGCGGCGCAGCGGCGGCGCGTTGAGGTCGAGGTCGGGGCGCCGCTGGGCCCGTCGGCCGAGGCGCTGCTGCTGCTGGGCGCCGCCCGCGAGCCCCGCGGCATCTCGGCGCCGATCTGCCCGCGGCGCTGTCGACTTCCCTGGAGGCCAGGGCGGGCCGCCGCGCTCGACCCGCGCTCGCGGAATCGCCGAGGCGCCCCCGTCGCTGGCCGCGGGCCGGGCGCAGCCGAGGTATCTCCTAACAGCGAACTAATAGCTCAAACAGTGAATTTGCATTGCGCTGTCAACGCCGCGCAACGCAGGGTGAATTCACGCTACGCCGCTGACACTACGTTTTTCGCGTCGTCACGGTCATCCACAGCGGCGCAGGCGTAGTGTCAACATTATAATGTCAAGTAACCGCACAATCTCAAGCAACGCAGTCTGGACCGACAGCGCGCTGTCAAGCAGCAGTGCACCGAGTGAGTAGCATCGTCAACAATCAACAGCGTACTGTTAACAGCGCAGTGCCATCAGCGCAGCGTCAACAGCGCAGTGTCAACCAAATGCGCAGCCTCGAGCAGCACTGCCTGGACCAACAGCGCACTGCCAAGCAACAGTGTACCGCGTGAGTATCATTGTCAACAACCAAAAGCGTAGCATTGTCAACAACCAACAGCGCACTGTCACCAGCGCAGTTTCAGCAGCGTAGTGTCAGCAGCGCAGTGTCAAGGGCGCGCGTCAATCAAAAGCGTTACCTCAAGCAACCCTAGCCTGAACCAAAGGCGCACTGTCGAGCGACAGTGCACCGCGCGAGAAGCATTGTCAACAACCAGCAGCGCACTGTCAACAGTGCAGTACCAACAGCGCAGTGTCAACAGCGCAGCGTCAACCAACAGCGCACCCTCAAAGAACGCAGTCTGAACCAACAGCACACGGTCAAGCAACAGTGCACCGTGTGAGTAGCATTGTCAACCATCAAGAGCGCACTGTCAACGGAGCAACGTCGACAACGTAGCGCCAACAGGGTAGTGTCAACAACATAGTGTCAACCAGCAGCACAACCTCAAGCAACGTAGCCAGAACCAAGAGCGTACTGTCAAGCAACAGTGCGCCGCGTGAGTAGCATTGTCAACAATCAACAGCGTGCTCTCAAGAGCGCCGCGTCGACAACGCGACCGCCAACGACGCTGCTTAAATTCGACGGTTTTCACGAAATTCGTTCTGGACAGATCTGGGCGCGACAGGCGCTTCATTCAGAGTCTCAATAAAACTCGCCTCTCGTAAAGACGCGCTTCTCATATAAAAAACCAGTCATGACAAGACATCTCACATCTGATCCCTGCTCCCATTCAAAACACTTTATCATTGTTTTAACTGTCGTGGAACATATTCATGAAGGATGGTCTCTCGTAACAAATCTTTTTTCATAGTAAATCCGTTTCTGATTGAACCCGCATATCATTCTCTGTCCTGAAAAGGCGTCTCTGGCATGAAGTCGTCTCCCATAAGAGTTCCTTCAAATAAGAAGCCGTCTCTCCTGAGAAGCCGTCTCTGATGGGCCAAAACGTTTTTCCCGATACGTATCTCATTCAAAACCATATATAATTCTGAAAGTCATGATAAGTCATCTGTCGTGAGCAATCGCTTCTCATGAGAAGTCCAGAGATAATGTTTTCTTTGCTAGGGAACAATACGCATTTGATTGATACTACGCTGTAGACACTACGCTGTTGACATTCAGTTGTTGACAGTAGGCTGTTGACAGTACGTTTTTGGCACTACGCTGCTGACACTACGCTGTTGACATTACGCCGTTGGTTGACACTGCGCGGTTGACACTACGCTGTTGACACTACGACGCTACGCTGTTGACATTACGCTGTTGACGTTACGCTGTTGAAACTACGCTGTTGACACTGCGCCTTTGACACTACGCTGTTGACACTACGCTGTTGACGCTACGCTGTTGACACTACGCTGTTGGCACTACGCTGCTGACACCACGCTATCGACACTACGCTGTTGATTCAATTCACCGTTAAGACGTACTCTCCGGCGCAGCGGCGGCCCCACGCCAGACAGCGCAAAGCAGCGCCGGGAGGTTACCCATTAATTGCGGCAGGGCTGAGCGACCACGTCAAGTGGAGTGGTCGGATTGTAGCGCCAACGCACGCCAATCGCGCCAGAGTGTTCGGCAGCGCGCTCGCAGTGCTCGGGGCGTTTCTGGAGCGGCCGCGGCGCCCCTGATGCGTCCTCCAAGCCCACCGGCTCTCGCAGTGAGTCCTGATGTGTTTCGATTTGGCATTATTGTCGTCGTGATTTCGTCTGACAAGGAGAACCGTGGACGGGCTGACGGTGTTCCATATACTGGCATGGTAGGTTTCGGCATTGCAGATGGGACTGGTCCGTGGCCAAACCAACTGTAGGAAAGCGTGGTTCGTGTTTTCCTACAATTCGCTGTGCCGCTTTCGTTCGATAAATTATCATATTTATACTCTGGGAGCGCGTGGTTCGCGATTTCGTACATACGTTTCTGCGCGCGCTCGGTTTCACGAAAGCCGGATTCCCTACGACGCCGTTAACCCACAGCGCTGCTAGCCTGGTCTTGGGAGAACATGGATCCTCGACTTTCGATCCTCGACCCTCGATCCTAGACCTTCGATCCTCGAGCCTCGATCCTCGACCTGCGATCCTCGAGCTTCGATTCTCGCTCGACCTGCGATCCTCAAACCTCGATTCTGGGGCCTGGGTCCTCGGGAGGGAGGCAGAGCAACCCTTGGGTGCGTTTGGATCAGAATGTCGAGGCGGATCCATCCGTGGCGGCGAGAACCTTCGGGAGGCCCCAGAAGGACGGGAACTGCCACACACGACCTCGACTTTTGCGAGGCGGGGGTTTCATCCACCACTTGGGGAACTGACGTCCTGAGACCCCAGCGGGCGGTGGATACGGACACATTTCGGCCCCAGGGAGCCCGACCATACTCTGAGTTTCTCAATAAGCGTCGGGGGGGCGTCACCTCCGCGGGCAGCCCCACATCGACCCCCGTCGCGGCGCGACGACGAGGCGAGGTTGACCCCCGTCGGTGGGACCCCCCCACGCTTGTTAAGAAACCCAGAGTATTCAAATCCACCGCCTGCCGACATCCACGAAGATCGATATCCCCAGGCGGTGGTTCTGGACAAGTCCCCGCTTCGGGAACCTCGATCCTCGAGCCGCCTCGCGAGACCCCGCCTGGGGATGCCGGCCGGAAAGCCGGCCGGCCAGCGAGGTGGAGCTGGGCCCGCTGTGGGGTGCGCTGGTCGCGCTGCTGGGGCGGGACCCGGCCCTTCGGGGGGAGGGGCAAATACACAGAGGAGGGGATCGGCGGCGAGCGAGGGGGTGGGGGAATCGAGGAGGAGAAGGCCTTCTCAGAAGGCGGCGGGACTCCTCAGAAGCCCGAGCGCGCCTTCTGAGAGGTATCCTCTGTCTTCGGGAAGGCTTAGAAACATCCCAGAAGGCCGGAGGCCTTCCGAGCCTTCCGAGAAGTCCCGCCCCCTTCTCAGTTCTTCCGCGGGCGCGTCTAGGAGAGGAGAGGGAGAATGAGGAGGGGCCGCGGGAGCTGCGGGTGGCGGGAGGATCGAGGAAGAAAGCACGGTACAAGCATAATAAAGTGTCGGAGGTCCGCGCGGATTTCTCGGATCGGAGCTGGGCCCCCCTGGCAGCGCATCCGTCGCCGCCCCTGGCGCGATCAGCGCGCCAGGGAGTGGAATTCAGTCCAGACCCAAGACGTGCGCGCGGACCTGCAAAAGTTTATCTTCACGCAATGTTGGTTCTTCCTCTAGAGGGGGCGATGAGGGAGGATGAGGAGGAGGAGGAGGAGGAGGAGGAGGAGGAGGAGGACAACACTGCAAGACGTCATAATCCAGTAGTCGGACAGCAGGGAGGCAGCAGTTGATTTTATCACGGGTCGAAGCGAGGCCTTGTTTTTGTCACGGGTCGTTTCCTGATGGTTTTGGCGCCCGAGCCCCGAAACGAGGCCTGAAACGGGCTCGAAACAAGCCTTCTTGTTCGTAGAGCTGGAGGTCTGGGGAGGCGGGACAAGAATCCCCCCCCAAACCTCTCCTGAGCCGCGTTCTCATGTCGAGGCGGACCCAGGAAGCCCGCAAGGCCCCCGAAGCTCGCAAAGCCTTAATTCTCGATCCTCCATCCTCCTGTCCATCCCTTTCCCCATCCTGCGTCGGAATCCCAGGAGCATCGTCAGGTATTCCTGGAGGTCTTGGGAGGTCTCCACGATGCCTCTGGAGGCGAGGCCCTTGCAGGCCCAGACCCGGGAGCCCGTACAGGGGGGGATGCTCAAGGAGGAGGAGGAGGAGGAGGAGGAGGAGGAGGAGGAGGAGGAGGAGGAGGTGGGGGAGGAGGAGGAGGAGGAGGAGGCGGATCAGACGGAGGAGGAGGAGGAGGTGGAGGAGGGGGAGGAGGAGGAGGAGGAGGAGGAGGAGGACCTATCCACGAGAGCCTTTGGAGGCGTACAGCTGGCGTAAGGATCGATGGCAACCACAGCTCTTGAGTGGTACCCTTTCCTCGCGTTTGGACTCTCAACGTTGGAATGATCTTCGTTTGGGGGCATCTCCATGGGGCCATGAGCCCTCGGCCAAGGTGCTGGTGTTCTTGACCGCCGTTATTCTGGCCATGCTTCAATTGCCTTTTTCTCGTTCCACGGGCCGTCCCGGGCGATTTTTCTTATGACCCGCCTTGTGGCCTTACCCCGCCCCGGTCTACGACGTCCCGTCGGAGTGCCCTAAGCACGCTAAGACAGTATCAAGAGCATCACGTCCAGAAAACCTTCAATCCAATCACGGCGGTAGGGCCCTGCAAATGGGGGAGCATCGACTTCAGTCCAGCAGGCATCGGCACAGGCCGGTAGTTGGAGTATAGCGTTTCCCAGCTACAGAATCCCGACATATTTTGATACCTAGCCTCGAACCCATCCTTATCGCTAAGATTGGCACGCCCGAGGCGAGGACAAGCTCAGGGATATGCCTTCAGAAACTGTGGGAGGGGGCAATTCTTAAGATTGTCACCGAGAGAAGGTAATGCCAAAGTCAGGGATGCTAGTAGGCATGTTCTTCACGCCGGTAATTCATGCCTTCCTGCTTCGAGCATCGACGGCGTCTCGCTTTACGGTTTGAGCGTTTGGATAGCGTATCGTTCTGCAGGTTCTGGCCCACCATGCTTCGGGCCGACACGCTAACCGCTTCCCAATCTCCAAGCGTCAACGCCCCGAGCCGTTCCCAGCCTCCCGCCCCGCGGAGCGGAGCGACACGCTTTCTGGTCGCAAGGCACAGCGTGTCGCCAGGGCCGCCGCCGCGACACGATGAGCAAAAGCTCCTGACCGCTACCACCAGTTACCTGGGTGGGCCGAGCCGCAATCTACATGAGCGACGCAGACGGGGTCGTCTGCACGGGCATGGGCGCGTAAGCGGCCCACGTATGCCGCCGCGGCGTAAGGTCGCCAAGCCATCTTGCGACAGTAAGGACCCGTTTCTCTTCGTGGCCCACATGAATCGCCGTCCTGCATCATATTTCTCTCGACGTCTTGCGGGCGGCCTGCATGTCAGGCATCCCGCAGGGGTGGGGCCGAAAGGGTGGTTAGTGCCTCAGATTACCGGGGGCGGCCAAGAGGGGAGTGATGATTAGGTTAAGTCGGGCATGTCACTTTGCAGGAGTAATATTCAAAACTCGCCAGACAATAGTCGGGGGGCGATGTTTTGATTATTTGTTTTTAACAACTTTTGAATATGTGTTTGACTCCTTATTCTTTCCGAAAAATCTTCCTGTCGGGGGACATGCCCGACCTAAGATTAGGTGGGGGGTGGATGTCATGGCAGGGGCCATGATACCTCCCCAACTTTCAGAGGCCTTTCTTCACCTCTTATTTCAATACGTCCATTGGTTTCCCTCCTCGTCCGCGCACATGCCTCGGGCCATGATTTGCGACCCCCCCTCTTGGACGCCCCCGATTCGGCCGACATCCAACGATCCTGCGCGATCGGAAAGCCGTGATCGCTCAATGCTGGACGATCCGCGCAGTGTCAGATACCGAACGCGCAAGTCGTCTCAACACCAACCCGCTGTATGTATTTGCCCCCGTCCAGCTCATTTCGGTCCGTTCGATCCGATTCGGTGTCGATTCTGTCCGACCCGATCCGCTTCGACTTGGGTACTCCGTCGATCAAATGCGGCCTGATGTTTGCATGGCGTTGCTGTGCTCCCTGGCGCAGCCGATCCCAACCGGTTCTGACTCCGTGCCGCTGCGGTCCGAGCCGATGAACACTTTGGTCCGATTCGACCCGATGGTGACGGAGTCTCCCTGACGTGCGGTAGGAGGTTCGTGTCGTGCCGACGCGGCGGCGACCCAGCCGTGGGCGTTCCTGGTGGAACGCCGCCAGCGGGCCAGAATCGGCCAGTGTGGAACGACCCAGCGATCGAGAAGCCGACACGAGATTGCCGTTTGCCTTTGCCCCCCTCCAAGCAATTTCGATCCGACCGATATCGGCCCGATATCGATCAAATCGGTATGCACTCGAGCAGCTTCGCACATCGTGAGCCACATTGCTGCGATGAATAATATGTTTTGTGAGCAGAGTTTAAGAAGGTGGTTTAAGAACATCTGATGTAATCTGGGGCTCAGAAGGAAGATGGATTGATTGATCGAGAAGGTGGGCGCTCTCTGCCGCGCCACGGCGCGATCTTCCTCAGCCCCCGCTGGGGCCGCACCGCACAAGGGGATTCGCATCCGTATGCCCGACGCCCCCCCCCCTCCAAGCCATTTCGATCCGATCGGCCGATGGGTATCGATTCGACACCGATTCGATACCGATTCTCCCTGACGTACACCCATCAGAACTCTTAAGACAAAACAGCGACGTGCATGGACTTCAGCGTCTTCACACAAAAACAGAAAAGAATCCGGACTGGACCCTGGGCGTTTTCTTGGATCTTCTTTCTTGTCTCGAATGTTAGAAGGTCTGGACAGGGACTGCTGTTGGCGAAATCGCTCGGGGTGAAGTCCATTTCCCTAGCCTGACTATTTCTCTGCCCTTCTCGCAGGCCCGCGTCGGCACCCGCGCTGACGCGCTGCTGGTGCGCTTGGTTCGCATCGGAGGCGCAACCCCGGCCGCCGGGCTTCAGGCGCCGTTTTGGGCGGGCATCTTGACAGCCGCAGGGGAGGGGGGGCGAGGGGCGAGCTTGAGGATCCAGAGCAGACTATTATCTTCCACTTCCTCTAATCCTCCCTTTCGTCCTCCTCTTGCTCCCTCGTGCTTCCCTCCTCCTCCTCCTCCATCCCTGCTCCCCTCCTCTTTCCTGTTCCTCCCGCATCGTTTTCCCCCGCGTAGCTTTGTTTGCGTAGTCTTTTCGAGTAGCGTGCCGACACACGGCGCTCCTGCGGCGCTCTTGCGGCCCGCCCCCCTGAGGACTCGGGCGACGCTCGCGAGGGGCGCGGGCGACCGTAGCGCTTGCGCGTTGTGTTCCTTGTTCGGCGTAGTGTTTTCACGTAGTGTTCTCAAGTGGCGTGCCGACGCGGGGCGCTCCTGCGGCGCTCCAGCGGCCCACTCCCTGCGGACTCGGGCGACGCTCGCGAGAGACGCAGGCGATCGTCAGGCGATCGTAACGTTCGCGCGTGCGTGCCGACGCGGGGCGTTCCTGCGGTGGTCCAGCCGACCGCCCCCTGCGGACTCGGGCGACGCTCGCGAGGGACGGAGTTTGCGCGTTGTGTTCCTGGTTCGGTGTAGTGTTTTTTACGTAGTGCTCTCGAGTGGCGTGCCGGCGCGGGGTGCTCCTTTGTTTTTCTTGTTCGGCGCAGTGTTTTTGTACGTCGCATTTTCGAGCGGCGTGCTGGCACAGGGCGCTCCTGCGGCGCCGAAAGACTTGTGGCTCCATGGCGGGTTTTCTGGGCGCCCCGCCGGGCGCTGCGGGGGCGGCCCCGTGCAAGGGCGTGCTCACGCCATTGCGGAAGTATTGGGGCGAGGACTGCGTGGCGAGCAGGTGCATGGACACCGGGTAATTACACGAAGGTTGTGGAGGACGATGAATGGAGAGGAAGCATGTTGCCAAATAATTTCCAGATGTCTAGAACATGTGTTGAAACTGTTTTTTTAATATATATATGTGTGTATGTATGAAAAGACATGTGTTCAGCATTTGCAGACTTTTCCGATATGTTAAGCACATTTTAAATCGATGATAGGACTGTTAGGGTGTCCTGTGTCGTGGCATCCACGGCACGAAGGCCACGTGCTCGTACTCGGCGGTGACGGGGTATGTTGCCCGCGCGAGTGCTCCGTGCAGAAGCTGGCGAGCGAGGTCCCGCTGTGGCTGGGCCACGCCGTGCCGCCTGCGCGCGCGGGGGCCCAGGAGTTGAGGCGCAGGGGCAGGGGAAGAAGCACGATGCAAAGTCACGACGTAAAAAAAGCGCTACGTGCAAAGCACTGCGTGAAAACACGACGCAGACCATTTCACACTAGGGCGCAAGTCTTCAAAGCAAGGTAATCCGACACAAAGCGATGCGATGCGAGGCGATGCGCATCAACACAAGGCAACGCAAAGCAATGCATCGCGATGCAGAGCAATGCAAACCAATGCGAAGCCTGCAGTGCGAACGGGAGCGGGGGGGGGGGGGCACGGGGCGACGGCGACGGACGGGCACCAGGCCGCTGAGCCCGCAGGCGAGTTTCTCACGTAGGAGAGGTGGGGCTGCGACTAACGGGAACGGGGCTGCCAGGCCCGCAGACGGGCCTGGGTCCTCAGAAGGGCTGGGTCCTCAGAAGGCCAGTAAGAGGCCCTAAATGCAAGCAGTGTTTGGGGAAAACATAGGTACACGTAGTACTGATTCTGATAGCAGCACTTTGATAACATTCATTATCGTGGTCATACCAACACTAAGTCGAATACGACTAGCTAATGCACTCCTAATACGACTGCTAATTTCGTAATGTTATGATTCGTAGAATGGCGGGTGGTGCGACTTTTCGTACTGGCACGACAGCGAATACTGATGTGAATATTGGTGCCAATGCCAGCCCACGAATACAGCCACGAATGCTAAAACTAAGACGAGCACGACTATAAATATCATGGTTTGGATTCCCGTACGCATGAGTGTACTTGGACGAATACCAACACGAATGATAATAGTAACGCGAGGTGCTAACACTACGAGGGGCCACAGGAGGCGGCCACGGGAGGCCACGACGTCCGACCGATTCCGGATCCGGTAACGCATGGGAGGCAACGGGAGACCACGGGAAGCGACGTCCCCCGACCGATTCTTGATCGGGGAATCTATCTTGTAGCTTCTTAGTAAACGGTATAGAACCCTTGCAGGCAAGCTTGTCAGGGAATCTACGAAAACAGAGAGAGAGAGAGAGAGGAGGAGGAGCTGAGGACGGGAACGATGATCCAAATGAGGCCCCAATGGCTCACATGATCCTCCCCTTCCCCCCTCCCACCGCCCCCCTCTCCCTCCCCCTTTGGCCTCCCCCTCCTCCGTTCCCTCCTCCTCCGTTCCCTCCTCCTCCGTTCCCTCCCCCCGTTCTGGATGATGCCTTCCTCCTCCCCCTCTCCGTTTCCTCCCCCCCCCAATCCTCCGTTCTGGAAGGCGGGGCGCCTGTTGCAGCTGCTCTGCGCGGGCGACCTGGTGAGGTCTCGCGCCGCCACGTGCCTGGTCTGCGAGAGGGCGGGCGGCGGACCGAATGACCCTGGAAGGAACCTTCAAGGGTCGACCAGGAGGAGGGAGGAGGAGGGAAGGGGGAGGAAGGGCGGAGGAGGGAGGAGGAGGACCTTGGGAGCAGAAGGGAAGAGGGAGGAGGAGGAGGAGGACGGGGGGAGCATGAGGGGAGGAAGGAGGGGACAAGAGGGGGGGATGAGGAGGGATTAGGACGAGGGATAGTGAGGAGGAAGAGGAGGAGGAGGAGGAGGAGGAGGAGGAGGAAGGCGGAAGGAGGAACGAGGAGGGAGGATGGAGGAAGGAGCGAGGGAGGATGGAGGGGGGAAGATGAAGGAGGAGGACGAGGAGGGGACGAGGGATTGTGGAGAGAGGAAGAGGATGGAGGGGGAGGAGGAGGAGGAGGAGGAGGAGGAGGAAGAGGATGAGGAGGACGGGGGGGAGAAGGAGCAGTAAGGAGGAAGGGAAGCATAAGGACATAAGGAGGAGCAGGAAGAGGGATGATAAGATATGAGGAGGAGAGGGTGAGGAAGGGAGTTACGCAGGGTGGGGGGGGAAGGAAGAGGAGATGAGGTGGGGAAGGAGGGGTGATGATGATGCTGATGATGCTGCTGATGATGATGATGATGGTGATGGTGTTGATAATGATGATGCTGATGATGATGACCATGATGATGATGGTGCTGCTGTTGGTGATGATGATGATGGTGATGAAGATGATGCTGCTGGTGGTGCTGTTGATGATGATGTTGATGCTGATGATGGTGGTGTTTTTGGTGATGGTGATGGTGGTGATGATGCTGATGATGCTGATGATGTTGATAATGGTGATTCTGGTGATGGTGGTGGTGATGAGGGTGATGATGCTGCTGCTTCTGGTGTCGGTGTTGAAAATGCTGGTGGTGGTGGTGTTGATGGTGATGATGCTGATACTGCTGCTGCAGCTGCTGATGATGATGCTGGTGGTGGTGTTGATGATGATGATGATGATGACGATGATGATGATAGTGATGCTGATGCTGATGCTGATGCTGATGCTGATGCTGATGCTGATGCTGATGCTGATGGTGGTGAGGATGATGATGCCGCTGGTGGTGGCGGTGTTGATGATGATGCGTATGATGATGCTGGCGGTGGTGTTGTTATTGATGATGCTGCTGATGTGATGCTGATGCTGATGATGATGATGATGATGGTGATACTGACGATAATGATGATGCTGGTGATGGTGGTGTTGATGATGAGTGAGGTGATTTTGGTGATTATGATGATGCTAATGATGATGCTGCTGATGATGATAATGATGATGCTGATAGTGATGGGGATGATGCTGCTGATGATGATGATGGTGGTGGTGATGATGATGATGATGATGAGGATGATGATGATGATGATGATGGTGATGATGATGATGATGATGATGATGATGATGATGATGATGATGATGATGGTGGTGGTTGTGGTAGTGGTGGTGGTGGTGGTGGTGGTGGTGAGGAGGAGGAGGAGGAGGAGGAGGAGGAGGAGGAGGAGGAGGTTCAACTCTTCGCCTCCTTAGCGTGTTGCGCGCACCATGGTGCCCGTCCTGCCGCTCGTGCTCACCCTGGCCTTGGCGCCTGGACCATGCGCCTCCGCTCCGAAACACCACCCAGACGAGAAAGCAGCTCGTGCTCGCTTCCACGAGGAGTTGCGGGCCAGCGGGCGCCTACATCAATTGTGGTTGGAGGCGTTGGCGAGCGCTCCCGCCACCCAGCCAGGCAACCAACCGCGTGTACGAGGGGTTGGCCCGCGCGGAGTGGGCACCTTTGACGGATTTGGGGCGAGCCGCTTATTTGGCTCAGGCGGAGCAGCAGGCCGCGGCCGCTGGGCGTGCCCGGCTGCTCGAGGCGTTCTCCCAGTGCTCAGATGCATCGTCCTTGTCTTGGGCGAGCACTGCCGAGGCCCAGCCCAGCACCTTCGGCGATGCCGTGCCAGTTGTCGGCGTCGGGAGGGATCATGCGTTCTCGAATGGCGTTGTTGCGCAGGTCGGCCCAGATGCGGATACGCTTGCAGGTCTCCTTCAGTTGCCTGTCGGGTCCGCCATGGCCGCTGGCCACCAGCCTGCAACACAGGGCTTTGGTGACCGCCCGCCGCCGGGCTTTGAGGCCTTCCTTAACGAGGCTGCCCTGCCTTCGTCCAGCTCGTCGTCGTCATCGGGGTCCGCTTCGCCGCTGTCGCCGGAGTTTCCGGCCCCAATTGGCGCCCCCACGGTAGTGGCAGTGCCGCTGGCGACGCGATGGCCCTTCAGTTTTTCGCTAGGGGCGTTGGCGGCAGCGCGCAGTCTGCCATCCTGTGGGCGTGATCCCATCTGCCGGGTGGCTCTGGATTGTTCGTGCACTGCGGGCGCGGGTGTACACAATTGGGCCTACTGGCCAGCGCTCCTGGCCGCAGTCGGCCTCCTGCTGGCGGAGGCTTTGGCAGAGTGGTTCGCTCATGCAGCCTTTGGCCCACACTTCGCCTACTTGGTGTGGGCTCTTGCTGGTGCGCTCGCGGTGCCTTCCTCGGACGTCGTCTTCGCCCTGCAGTCCTTGGCTGCCGCTGCGCCTGGGCATGCTGCGCCTGCCATCATGGCGGCTGCTGCCCTCTTCGGGCAGCTGGGGCCGGGTTGCTTTCCAGGACTTGCCGAGGCCGTCCACGTCCTGTGGCTCGCGGGCGGCTTCTTGGACCCCGTGGTCCCCCGCTTGTGGTCTTCGGTGGCTCTGCGCAAGGTCCCGTCGCCGCACTCGTGGCCGCCAAGCAGCGCAGGGGCCCGTGCGCGGCGAGTTCCTCGAATCGCGACGTCGCCCCGGTCCTGGGCAGCCCGCCGAGGTGCCCGCCGCGACTGCGCCTGGCGCGCAGCCTGCCAGCTTGGCGTCGCAGCCGTCGCAGCGCCCGCTGTCGCCCTGGCGTGTCTCGGGCGCCCAGGGGCATGTTCCTGTGCCTGGTTCGCTGCCCGTTGGGCCCGCAGTGCCCACAGTGCCTTCTGTCCTCCAGGTGCTCGGCGGGCAGCGGCCGCCCTTGCTAAGTGGGACCTCTCGCCGCTCCCGTCGGGCGTCGGCGGCTGGTGGGGATGCGCCGACCGCCCAGCGGGCCATCCTACTGCGCGCGGACGGGCCGGCGCTCACTGACGTCGACATCCTGCGCCCTGTCGCCACGCATCCCGTGCACCAGCCGCTGCGCCGGCACCCAGGCCAGGCCTTCTTCCTGCACGGCAGAAGATCGGAGTGGCCATCCGCTAGGCAGGTGGTGGGGGGGCCGCGTGCTGCTGGCGGCGTCAGGGCAAGGTCACGCTCTCTGGTGACCACCCAGAGATGCGGGCCGCGCTCCTCGCAGCCGTCGCGGACTGGACCGCTGCCGTGGCGGCCTTGCCAGCGCTGGACGGGCGACGTCGCCTCGCGCCCGCTGCGGCGCGTGCGCCGCTGCTCTAGGAGCTGGGCGCGCCGGCCCTCCGGGGGGGCGCGAGGCGCTGCGATGCCGCGGTGCGTTGTCGTTCGCTGGGTTTTTGAAAAAGCGCCGCGCTGGGTGGGGTGGGGCGGTGGCGCGCGCGCGCGGGCGGCGCGAGCGCATGCGTCAGCGTGCGTGCGTGGCCGCCTCTTGGTGCGCATGCGTGCGCGCGCGCGGATGCGCGCGTTTTGGCGCGTGTGCGTGGTGCGCGGTCGCGTCGCAGGCGCGCGCGCGAGCGGGGGCGCGGGCGCGCGCGCGCAAGGTCTAGGCAGGCGAGACGGGCAGCGCGTAGGTGGGGGCCAGGGGAGGCAGCGCGCGCGACGGGGACGTTCGCCTGTGCGTGGCAGCGCGGCATGCACGGGTTCCTCTGGGGCCCCTCACAGCGTCGCCAACTTGCGCGACGGCCCCCCTCAAGGACAGGGCGCGCGTCAGGGCACTTGCCCCTCCAAGAGAAGGAAAAATCAGAGAAGATAACAGAAGACAGGAGTAGGCGGCAGAGGCCGAGACCGAGGTGGAGGAGGAGTAAATATGCCCCTCTCCGCCTCATACTCAATTAGAACTTAACTTAGTTTGCATGCAACGAACTGTCCGCGTGAACTGAAGCTGCGTTTCTGCAACTGTATAACTGCTCAAACCAGCCGACCTCGGCTGGCAGGAGAGAAAAGGAGCGCGCTGGGGCGCGCGGGCGATTCGTCGTCGTCCGTCCTCGGCCTTCCTCCTCCCTTCCTATTCCTGATAGAGTGGTTTAGCTTAACGGATATCTGTCTTATCAATGTCTCATCCCGCCTCCGCTCTCCCTGAGCAGAGTGAACATGAGATCTTAATTCCTTTGTCATCCTACCCCGATTCTCAGAGGAAAGACTGGTTATCAGCCGAAACGCGCGACTCAGTCGACGCGGGGCCATTAGATACAAAAGAAGATGTTTCAGTCGTGCCCCGCGATTCAGTCGCTGCGGGAGAGAGCTATGATAAGACTAATATCGCGTCTAATATCTCGAGAAGCGCTGATAGGCGCGTTGAACAACATGATGGACACGATACAGATAGAGTCGGTCCTATTCAAGACCGAATCCCTCCTCAAACTATCGCCGAGCGGGTCATGGGGGGGAGAAGTAACGATGGGATAACCGAAATGCCGGTAGACGCATCCACAGTAGGGGCTCCGACAGGTGATCGCGAGCAAACCCCCGACCCTCACGGGCGAGAAGGCGTCGCGCCAAGGCCCAGGCGAGGTGCATTTTCTTCGAGGTTGAGTGCCAACTCGACGGAGTCGATAAGTCCCATCCAGAATGCTCCACTAGCTACTGCCATTGCCGCTGGCGAAGCCAGTCGGCCAGGGGAAGCCCAAGGGAATCCGAATGCGTATCCTAATATCCCCGTAGATTGGGTGGGTACGCATGTTACTGCCCCAACCCCTATAGCACTTAACGGACAATTCGGTCAGGATAGCGATGATCCGATAGACAAAGATCACGAAATATATTCCATGGAAGAAAATTTTGATAGTATCAATAATGATATTTCCTTGAGCCGAGCGTTGTCCGTGATGATGG